GTGTGTGTGTGTGTGTGTGTGTGTGTGTGTGTGTATCTTGTGGTCATGAGAACGCATGGTCTTTTTGCAGTCCTTTCCATGCAGGCTGTTGATTGTTACATGAATTAATTTTATTTAATTTTAATATAGAAATGTTAGAGTAATGTTAAATAGGCAGTGATGCAAAGTCAAATTTATTTCTGTTACATACATAATTTTCATAACAATTGAAGGTAACTTTCTTAATTGTGGTATAGTATTGAAGTATGTGCCTGGAAAATACAAATTCCACCTCCTTTAACTACCAAAAAACAATAAAAACACTATCCTGTTATCTGCTTGTCTATCCATATCCCACTTGTTAGTTCCGGGTCATGGGGGTTGCTGGTGTCATATGTTCAGCAGTCTYTGTGCGAAAGGTGGGGGGACACCCTGGACAGGGCCACACATAATGACCACTCACGTTCGGGACAGTTCATAGAGTTATTTGTTGGAAGACAATCCTGAAATTTCTGAAGAAATTGACATATTTGTGACATTCAGGAACCATTGCAATTGTTTGTAAACATTTATCATTTTTAATATCGTTATTATTTCACCAGATCTCATATCTCACAGGTCTTACTTCCTGGGAGACATCGTTTGTGAACAGTGGAGGGAAAAATACTCTTACTGACAGAACAACTTTACTTGAGCGTTATAATGCAGGTTCTGACATATTAAGGAAGTTTGCAGCAAGTTGTCTTAACAAAACAACGTGATTTCCTACGGGTATTTGTGTGATGTTTCACAACTATCGCAGTTGTTTGTAAACACTTTTTTTAACCTTTTTTAACCACTTTTTTTTACCATTATTTTTCATTTATTTTTCCATATCTCAGGTTTCACAGATCCTGCTGCCTGGGAGACATGTTTGTAACCAATGGAGGGAAAACTACTGTTGCTGACAAGGCAACTTTGCTGGAGTGTTACAATGCAGGTCATTAAAGTACTKTAGGAGTTCTGTAGCAAGATGTCTCAACAAAACAACCTGGTTATCTGCATTAAACAGGATGTTTTCGTAGTAACGGGACAAACAGAGCAGGTTCTGTCTTTTTTAAGTGTCACATTTTAACGCCATATTGAAAAGCTGAAGTGTGAACATTTAGTGTAACATGTGCGTAACAGTAATGAGATAATCTACTTTCTGTGTTCTAAATGTTGACAACCTCACTGCTACTTGTTCTCTTCAGTGGCCTGGTTTTAATGGAATAATCCACCGAAGTTTAAGTTTTATTTTTTCCTGTGCGTCTGCCTGTCTGTTTGAGCTCATGTGTGCGGGGGGTAAATTGCATTTTATTGCTGGCATGGAAACGACAAACAGAGAGCGGCGATAGAAAACAAAACAAAACGAGAGAGTGGGAGTAGAAGAAAGCAAAGCGAATGCAGAGAGTCGGGCTTGACGATTACTTCAGTGCAACTGGGGGGGTTTGGCGTGACGGTACATTAAAGCTGCCTTTTTCTCCAGCTCTGCAGCCAGTCTTAGCAGTCTCCTTGGTTCCAACTTCATTAGGTGACAATAGAGCTTTTGGGAGAGTCAGAGCACTGGCATCACATGCTTCTGGACTAAAGACACCCAAGACTGTTCATCTGCATAATAATGAATACCCCTCAGGTCCACATCAGGCCTCTTTTTGTTTTAAATCCCATTCCTGCTTCTGATCTCTCTCTGCAGGTTTGCAATGTTGATGTGTACTATTTGTCCCATTACCCTATACTGTGAGGAATGGTCTGGCAGCATGCACTGAGGTTTTGTTCAGATGTGTCTGATTGTGTAAGACTTTAAAAAAATGCTTTATAGTGCACACACTGAAGCTGGCTCTTGTTGCACACCTGCTGCTAACAGCAGAGAGCTAAACTTCCTGCTGCCGTTACTCCTTTGTTTGCTCATAACAGCATGTGGGGGGGAAAAGTTTTTTTTTAATCAGATCTCCTGATTTTACTTTCTTTTTATAAATTTGTAGGGAGAAAAAAAACTCAGAGCTCGACAAATGTCTGGATGTGTTTGTTTTAATGTGGAAATGCTGCAGCATATGAGTCATGTTCAGAGTTAGTTGTGGTTCCTCTTTCACCAAAAATGGAAAGAAACTGGTCTGTTTTTTTTATGTTATAACAAAATGAGATCAGTGCTAAAACAATATCCCAACATAATCCCTTGACTGTCCCATTGGAGGTTTTTAATTTTGTTTGCCAAGAATATTTTATTTGCTCAGAATATGTGTTGCGGGCATTGCTGCAAGTTTGGTTTTACCACTATCTGCCAGGTTTCACTGCAACAAGCTCAACTGTCAGAAACTAAGTGGTTTCTTTTCCTGTTTGTTGATCATGTGTGACTTTCACACAATATACTGGTAAATGTATCACCCTGGAAACAAACTATGGCACCAAGCAAACATTGTATAAATATACAGTATATAAAAACACTTGTTTAGGATGTTTGGACTTTTGTAACTTTTCACAATATTTAATCAAATGTTCTTAATTTCAAGACATTTAAGATATCTTTATATATGAAACCAGCAAAAATTGGAAAGTACAGCAGTAGATGTTATCAGAACTGAGTATTTTAGCTTAGAAAAGTTATGCATTTGTTTTACTTATTTTGTTTATTCCTAAGTAAGAAACCCAACTGTTATAAACCTTTTCAACAAAAGCAAAGGGCTAATATAGAGCATGAACACTGTATGTTTATAATGCAAAAATTCCCATTATTTTGTCTCATACCTGAAAATTACAAGGTGTTCAAAACATGTTTTCTCACAAGTCTTTGGAATTTTCCTTGTGTGTGAAATGTTAGAATCCTTTGACAAAACGTAATAAAAACGAAATAAATAATTTTWCCCTTTGCACAGCAACCATTTCCTGCTTATCTGATCATATGTTGGGTCGTTTATTTTTTTATTTTATTTTTTTTGCATATCTTGTTTTCATTTCCATTTCTTGAAAGATCTCTGTCAAACAAATGTAAGAAAATGGTTTACCACACTGTGCAATAGGTACCAAATTTGTTTTCTTGGCTGATTTTGAACTGACTAGACTGAAAACAACATGATGGTAGTTTCAGAGGTTTTTTGATCATTACTTCTTGTAGTAAGCTAATAAATACTAGTCATTTATTTTCATTCAATCAATACTTCCACTTCAAAAAGAAAAAAAATGTATAGGTCTTCTGGACGGGTTCTTCTCTAATGAAACGTTTCGTCTCTCCTCCAAGAGACTTCTTCAGTCTGAGAGTTTCAGGCAAAATTCAGGCTTTTAAGCACTGCCTCCATGTGACTGATATGTGATCCATGTGATGTGAGTATCAGTCACATGGA